CGATCTTAAGTACTAAGGAGTCTATAAAGACGATCTGACAAGCTAATGGGATAAGAGATCTAAAAGGCCGAGAAATCAATGTAAAAGAGCTGAAATGTCAGGAGGTCTTAATAGGCGAGATAAATACCCGATGAGTCTCGTAGACTAGCTAAAGGTTCAAGGAGTCTATACTTGGGTTGTAGAAGTTTTTTTTTTTTTTGTTTCAAAACGCGAAATGCAGTTAAATCAGAGAAGACGACACGAAAACCCATGGATTCTTCGGCTCAGTGATTTGCTCGTTTTCACTCGGGAGTGAAAACGAGCAAATCATTCTTGTGGGTGCGTATTTCGAATGTGAGGGACTTAAACGCCAAATCGGATGAAACCTATATATGGGAGCTATAGCTATGTATGAACCGATTTTCTCCAATTTCGATGTACTTGCTTCTAGACTGAATTCGGTCGGATGTACCAAAATTTCGGGCTTCGGGCTTTTATATTTTGTTCACAAGAATACATGGACGGGCGGACTGACATGCATAAATCGACTTAGAAAGGATTCTATGAAGATCCTCAAAAGTAACTATGGGTCCATCCCGCTTCCTTTTCCCTGTAACAAACAAATGCACAAAGACATAATACTCTTACCACTATGTGGTGTAGGGTATAAAACACTGTAGACTACACCCGGGAGTGCTCCCACTCGATTTAGAGCGAGAGTGAACACTCGAATTCGAGCGAATTTTTCAGAGGTCTGCTCTAAAAAATGATATGAGGGTCCAGATATTCTACATAGAAAACCTGAAGGTCCAGGAAAGTGACCGCCACGAAGTAAAGGTTTGGTCCTTAAAAAATTATTTTAGAAAATTCCAACAAAATAATCCTTGATAAAATATTCTTCTAAAAATTCCGCGTCATTGATCACATTATGTGCATGTCGAGAATTCTAAATAAATACATACATATGTATTTTTAGAAAACTCATTCAAAGCATTACAATATAATTCAATTCTAAACTGATGTGTGCTTCCCCACAGTAATTGTGGTGGTTCTAATAATAATTTATGAACTCTCCCCACACCAACACCACAAACAATTAATTTCTTACAATCGTTACTCGTGTTCGAACAAAAACATTCACCCGCCTTATGATAAAAATTTAATGAGTAATAAGAAGGCTCGCGGTCACATATTTGGGGAAGTGATAAACTATGGACAAATATCAATGGATTCCTCGTCGCAGACAAGTGTTATTTATTATCGAACTAAGCGGGCATGGGTAATACAAATACAATAATTGATTAAAAACAATAAAAAAGTTAGCACACCTTGGGGGCAGGTACAAATTATCACAACGTTTATTGCCCCGGCTACTTGTTGATATTCGAGCTAACAAAAAAGGAAGTTCGTTTAGATTTCGATAAATGTGTACACATGTTGTACATTATTAAGTTATGAGAGCATTTTAATTTAATTGAGGGGCGATATATTGATTTTTAAAGAGGCCTATAAATCGAAGTACTAAAATGATTAAGGTTTTTTTGATAGCGACGAACCCAGAAAAAAATCTTTAATGTGTAAAATATAAATTTTATTTTTCAAATCTATTTCTATTTTTCTATCTATTCTAATTTAATTTATAAATGATTTAATTTAATTTATAAAAATGTTCTCCAACCTTTAAATTGAAAGTTATTATTAAGCTGCATTTTTTTCGCGGGTGTCATACAGCTATCTGGTGCAATGAAACGCTATCTATTACTTCATCCCAATGATAGGTATTCAACGAACCGAAGTTCCGACGTTGTTTTTGAGTTAATATTTCTTATTTTAATTTATTTAATTAAAAATATATTGACCATACACTTTGAAAACAAAAAATAATTGCATATGAGGCATTCTATGGGGGAATAGATAAATTCTAGACGAAACGAACGAAGCTGGTAGAATCTTGAAATTTTGCACGAGGGTCAGTCTTGGTGCGTTGGCATGTGATAAGGCTGGGTGTTTGGAAATTTTCACTAAAATGATAGGAAATTTGTACTAAAATGTACTAAAAATTTAAAACTTTGTATTGGACAAACGGAATGAGCAAGAATTTGGAATGAATTTACGGAATTTAGGGTTACGAAATATTTCAAAACTTTACTAAACTTCTAAGATGGTACTATTTAGTGTTATATGAGCGGATAGAGCTACAAACTTGACATTGACATATAAAGATGGCTTTGGAAATGTGTACTAAGAGTGCGAACAGTACTAAATTTAGAACAGTTTGGTTTAGGGTGAATGGATGAAGCTGAAATTTTTTATTGGGGTCGTTGTTCCCTGGACCTATGTACATGGTTTCGGAAATGTGTACGATAATTGTACGAAAAGTTCTGAATGGTACTATATTTGGTATTGATAAGAGTAAAGATAAATTTCTAAAATTTAATATTGAGAGACCTGTGTTTGAGATTTGGCCGCGGTTTGGAAATGCGTGTTATATTTGTACGAAATGTAGTAAAGGAATAGACCTGAAATTCTGAAATTTACTATAGATGTGACTGTTGGTGTCTGTGGTTAATATATTTATGTGATTTTGGGATGGTTCTACTAATATCCTACTCGGCTAAATTCAAAATAAATAATTTTGAAAGGGGAAAGTTGCACAACCGCGGGCAAAAGAGCGGACAAATTTGTGTTCCGCTTAAAAGGCTCTATATGGGTCTTTTATACCCAGTCAATAAATTTTTACTCCTTTCGTCCTTTAAAGGCTTATTTTAGTTCGTATAAAAAAAGACTCAGAGAATTGATAAAGATTCTGAGTCGATTTATGCATGTCCGTCCGTGCGTCTGTCCGTCTGTCTGCCCGATCCAGATGAAATTTTGCACAAATCAATTGTTTGACCCAAGGACGAACTCTATTGAAATTGGAGATAATCGGCAAAAAATTAGATATAGCTTCCATATATATCTTCGTCCGATATGCCTTTTATTGTGCACCAAACTTGTAATATCCGCCCGAATAGTATGTAATTTTGCACATACAACCAAATTAGGCCTTCAAATGAGTATGCCATATTTGATCGATATCGGTTCAGATATAGCTATAGCTTCCATATATATTGTACATCCGATTTGTTATTTTTGTCTTCCGCAGCCGTAATATGCACTCTGTAACAACAATATTTGGGGAAATATATAAAATACAGCTCTGAAATACATTTGCTAAACTTTATCGAGATCGGTTCAGATTTGGATATACCTCCCATATATAACTTCGTCCGATTTACCTTTTTATTGGGCACCAAACGTCTAATATTCGTCCAAATGAGATGGAATTCGGCACTTATAACCGAACTGAGTCTAGAAGCTAGTATGTCAAATTTGGTGAAGATCGGTTCAGATATAGCTATAGCTCCCATATATACTGTTCATCCGATTTGTTATATTTTTTACCCACAGCCGTAATATGCACTCCGTAACAACGATATTCACAGAAATATATCAAATACAGCTCAGAAATATCTCTGCCAAATTTTATCGAGATCGGTTCAGATTTCGATATAGCTCCCATTTATATCTTTATCCGATTTCAAATAAATTGTGCACCAAATGGGTAATACAAGTCCGAATTTAAAAGATACAAATGTTTCGGCATATTTAGTCCTTTGAACTTTAAATTATAATTATAATCCCAGCGTGTATGATTCAATTCTCCCATAAAAACTTTTAATTGTTATGTGGAGCTATACTAAATTAGCAAAGTGGTGTAGGGTATCATAAAGTCGGCCCGCCAGACTTTAAGACTTCCTTTACTGGTTTTTTATGCTTCTTATTATAGATTTTCTTTAGCTTGCCTATGAAGACCTCCTTCAGCTGTTCTCAAAGGTTTCGTTATTCTCGTTCATTAGCTCGCAGTAAATTTTCCCGTCAGTCTTCCTTTAGTTAGCCTTCAAATCTAATTCACAACTCGTACCTAAAACCTCTTTTCAGTTCGTTTAAATTGACTCTCTTCAGCTGTTCTATAAAAGATTTCTTTAGGCTTTACGTATAACAACTATAATTGGCTTATCAGCTAGGCTCTTAATGATTATCTTTCCCTGGTTTAAAAGGTTCTAATTCGTTCAACTCTCAACGTTCCATTAATCAATGTTCGTTTTTCATAACCTGAATACCTTCAGCCAGAATGGGACTCTTTATGGCTCATCTGTAAAGGCTTCCTTTCTTTTTAAGTCCAAAAAATCCTTTTTCTCGAAAAGCGTTATTTTTCCCATTTTATAAAAATCCATCTTCAACTAAGACTATGTGGAGGTTTTCGATAAAGTAACGAAAATGACGCAAACATTTGACAAACTTGCAAAACTAGAATAATACATCATCTACACATGTACTTACTTATATTATAATATTTTGAGTGTGTTTCAGTAATGTTTTGTAATAAAATATCTAAGTTTAAAAACTGAATACTCCAAATCACGCACACCTATTCACATGTAAATGTAATGTATTTCCGCAAACTAAAAGCAGCAGAATATAGTTTTGGTAGTAAAAGAGTTCAGGGTCATCTGAAAAGGCAGTTCAAAGCAGAAACACACACACACATGTCGCGCACACAATTTTAAGTTAAAGAATACAAAAGAGGTGAAAATATTTTAGACAAGTTTACTTCCATGTCTGCCATCTTCCATCTAATGGTGAGATTTATTGCTGTGTGTTAAAAAAAATAATGAATAAATGAAACACACGACCCTGGGTGTCTTTTTTAAAGCGGTTTAGGGTTTTGTTTTTTGGGTATCATCATCATCACAACGTTTGCATGAAACTTTGGAATTCTAATTCAATTTATTTTAAAATGGGATGAATGTGAAAAAAATGTGTGTTTTAGAAGCAAACTAAATTATGGAATGAAACCTTAATACGTGAACCGGAATTTGTCATCTTTCATGTCATGTTAACTACTTCACATTATTTTTGAAATTTATTTCTTAAATTAAACATAAATTAAATATTTCCTATTTTGTTTCCATTTCCAGGTGATATTGTTCTAAACAATTTAAAAATACGAGAAAATGCCTTAGACGATTTAGATCTGCCAGTACAGCTGGTATATGGACACTTGGGAAAATTTGTTTTGAAAATACCATGGAAGTCGATATACAGCCAACCCGTTGTTGCCCAAATCGAAGATTTATTTCTATTGGTGGCACCCAAACAAAGTGTACCTTACAACGAAGAAAAGGAGCTGAAGAGTCAGCTCGAAAGCAAACAGGCGGCCCTAAAGGCTTTGGATGAGGCCCACCAACAGGAATTGGAGAAGGGTAAGTAAAAAAACATACATTTCACTAAAGAGATACTTATTTCCAAATCTTCAACTTGCAGATAACAAAGCCGATCCTGGTTATGTGGAAAAATTAGTGGCCCGCACCATCAATAATATTCAGGTTAAAATTGCCAATGTCCACATAAGGTATGAGGACAATACAAAACCCGAAAGCCCTTATGCTTTTGGTGTTACTCTACACGATTTCGAAATATTTACCACCGATGAGAATTGGCAGAAATGCTTTGTGGATGGTGTTATTCGCCATGTCTTCAAGTTGGCTAGTCTGGACTGTTTGTCAGTCTACATGAATTGTAATGCCGATACCTATAGCACAAGGCCGGGTCATGAAATTGTGCAGCTATTTAGAAATCACATAGCGAATAAATCAAATGTTCCAAAGGGCTATTCATTCGGTAAGTTATAATGGCATTTGAAAACAAGTAAAAAAAAAAAAACATTAAATGCGGCCGGGACGAACTTTTAATACCCTCCAACTTTGGGTAAAAAAAAAATATATAAAATATCTGAATTCAAACGTGTTCCACTTTAAACTACAAATACCAGTACGACCGTTTAGATAAAGTGGGTGAGGCCGTTATATGGGGGCCATACCAAAACGGGAACCTCGATTGTTCATTTTATACTTCAAGGATTGTCATCTACCAAATCTTCTTAAATACCAAATTTGAAACAATTTCGTGGGTAAATGTTATTTGGATTATTAAAATACCGAATATCGGTGGGTATCGTTACATGTGCCCTATAGGAACATGTAGACCTAAATATTCAATGTTCTGCCACCGGAACTAGAATCCACTATGACCTACAAATACTAATTTTTAGACAAATCCATGAAGAAATGTGGGAGGTACTGTTGTATGAGGGCTATATCAAAACCTGGACCTATATATACTATGTTCCGCCCCCGGAGCTAGAACCCATTGCGAACTATAAATACGAATTTTTAGACAAATCTGTGGAAAAATGTTGGTGAAAATCATCAAAATACTGAATATTTGAGAGGTACCCTTTATATGGCGCTATACGAAAACATGGACTTATACATACAATGTTCTGCCGCCGGAGCTAGAACCCATTGAGAACTACAAATACCAATTTTTGGACAAATCCGTGAAGAAATGTGGCGAAACTCATAAAAAAACCGAATATCGGGAGATACCGTTATATGGGGGCTATACCAAAACTTGGACCTATATATACACTATGTTCCGCCACCCGAGCTAGAACCCATTGTGAATTAAAAATACAAATTTTTAGACAAATCCGTGAAAAAATGAGGCAAAAATCATAATGAAATCGAATATTGGGAGGTACTGTTAAAACGTGAACCGATGTATCTCATTTTCAATACCAACCATCCTAGACACAATACAAATTTTTCTGTCAAATTTTGAAGCTCTATGTCAAATAATCCTAATTTCAAAAGACAGACAGACGGATCTTGTTAAATCGATATAGAATTTTATGCTGATTATGAATATATATACTTTATGTTGTCTACGGCGAATATTTAGGGACATTACAAACGGAATGACAAAGTTAATACACCCTCCTTTTCAAGGTGGAGGGTATAACAACAGAAGTTTTACTAATTTATAATTCTCTTTTTCAGTATTGGGTCCCATATCCTCTGTGGCCAAACTGTTGCTGAACTCCGACCCCAATCGTGATGAACCACCCTTTAGTATACCAAAAACCGATTTGTCTTTGCAAATGGAAAAACTGAATATTGGTCTTACCTCAACCCAGTTTCAGCTTATAATGGGCTTATTGGATGATATGAATCACTTTTCTTTGGGTGTTCCCTATCGCAAATACAGGCCCTTCAATACACGTAAGTCTTAAATACAAATACCAATTCTAATGTTTCAATTGATTGATTCCGTGTTTTAGCTTACAAAGGCAATGCCAAGACTTGGTGGAAATTTGCCATTACTGCCGTTCTCGAGGAACAAATCAAGAAAAAGAATCGTTCCTACACCTGGGAGCACATCAAGGAACATCGTCAACTGTGTCGCACCTATGCCGAGTCGCACAAGGAACGTTGCCTAACCAAAAAGCCCTCAGCAACTCTGGAAGAGACCTGTGCTTTGGCCGAACAGAAGCTGGATCTCTTCAATTTAATGTTGATACGAAAACGCATCCAACTGGAGGTGGATCGTGTGCGTCAAAGTGAGGAAACCAAGAAGGAGAACACCAAAAAAGCCGGCTGGTTCGGTGGTTGGTTTGGTGGTGGTAAAAAGAATGATGACGATGAACAAGTGGATTTGGTGTCGAGTATTCAGGCTGCCATGACCCCAGAGGAGAAGAAAAAGCTCCACAAGGCCATTGGTTATGAGGACAATATGGCACCGCTCCAGCTGCCGGAACATTATGAAGCGGTCCACATGAAATTTACTTTGGGTGCCTTTGAAATTGGCCTATACGATGATTCCGAGGGTCCAGGGGCTGTGGATTATCACTCGCTGCAGACAATAATGTTATTAAAACTGAATACCACCACATGCACGGTTAAGCAAAGGCCAGGTGCAAATGCCATAAGGTAAGGTTAACAAAAATATTTCAAAGCATTCCATTTCAAAATCAACACCATTTTTTGGTTTATTTCAGTGTCTCGGTGGGCATGAACGAATTGATATTGACCGGCTTTGAAAAGGACAATATTGCTCCCACAATTATCAAATCGAAAATATCCCATGAAAATAATCTCTTGGATATATTCTTTGAAACAAATCCGCTGGACAAAGAATGTGATCAACGTGTCCAAGTGACGGCACGTCCGCTGCAAATAGTCTACGATGCCGAGACAATTTTGAAGCTAATGAAAGTTTTTGTACCCAAACAGTCAGTGAATCTCTCAGAATTGGAAGGGGCGGCCACATTGAAAATATCCAATTTCAAAGAACGTTCCGCCACCGGCATGCAGTACATGATTGAGAGTCATGCCATTGTGCAATTGGACATTCGACTCATGCCAAATATATTGATATTGCCACAAGGCGGAAAATACGAAGCCGGCAAGCAGTCTTTGGTCGTAGTAGGCCTGGGCGAACTTCGTGTTTCCTCGGCACCACGCAAAGATACATCAAAGGACGTTACCTCTTTATATCACAGCGGCAAGGAACAGGATGAAATTCTACAAATGGTTATGGATAAGGCCTATGATCGCTACAAGGTCTCCATTGAAAATATACAGGTTATGGTCGTAAAACCCCATGAAAATTGGGAATTGGTTATGAATAAAATGTTGGACACTGACATGCACCTGCTGCGACCCACCTCTGTGATTGTGGACTGTGAGATATGTGTGGTGGATGATGATCCCCGATTGCCCAAAACCAAAATTGGTATCTTGTTGCCTTCCATTAAATTGAATCTATCCGAAGATCGTGTGTTCGAGGCATTGACTGTGGGACTGAGTATACCCTTGCCGGAAAAAGATCAGCCTGTGGAACCACCTAAAACCAATATGGTTAAGGCTTTAAGCAGTGCCTCGATTATGCGTTCTATACCACAATTCCTAAATCAGGATGTCAGACGTAAGGCCTTGGCCTCCACCAATCTGGCAACAGATGTTGATGTGGTTCAATACACTAGTTTGGAGTTGAGTTTTGCTTTGAAAGAATTCAGTGTAACGCTGATAAGGACTTCGGCCGTTGATTTAGTATCGCCCTTAAGCGATGGTTCCTCGTTGGAATTTAATACACCGTCGCCACAGTCGCAGGATTCTGAGGCAGATATAGAATTTTTGGACTCCCAAAGCACAGCAAGTGTCTCTGTGCCAGACTCCCATAAATTGCTGGCTTTCCAGGTCCTCCAATTGGAAGTATCGGTGGCTCAACGTACCTTTGAATTAGTAGCCCAAGCCAAGTGAGTATTTTAGAGTTTTAAAATATGCCAAACCACAATTAATTTAATTGTTTGTTTTTAGACTTGGTGCCATAAGTTTAATGTCTTATGAGCAAAATCAAGCGAAACAGGATCAAGAACTTGTGGTAATCGAAACTCCAGGCTTTACCCAGGATGGCAAGGCCTTGTTAAATGTTTCCTTTACCTCGGTGGATAAGACAACACCCGATTTTATAACCAAATACAAATCCATTGAACAATTGGCGAAGATCAATTTTGCCACCCTGAATGTTATACTGCATCAAGAGAATATTTTGCATATAATGGAAATTGCGGATCAATTACAACGTAAAGTGGACAAAATTATGAGCTCTGTGGCCAAGCCCCAACCCCAACTTAAGCCAAAGGATCGTGTTGCATCAGCTGCCGCTGATGAGGGCGTTATATTCAAACTGACACGTATTGCGGAGGAAAATGAGTTTTCGAATTTGACCGGAACTACGCCCTCACCTACCGCAACAGTGGCCCGTAAATCTCGTCGCAGCACAAAACAAAATGTTGTCGAGAGCATTAAAATGAAAATTGAAGCCAATCTGGAACAGGTTGGCCTTGAGTTGACATGTCGCAAACGTTCATTGGCTACTTTGAAAGTAAATCATTTGTATGCAGGTGTTGTTCTCAAGACATCCTATACGGAAATCCAGTTGGGTCTGAAGGACATTCTCATACGTGATATGAATCCGGCAAATATACATTCCAATATTTTGTCTATTGTGGGTAAAGATGCCTTGAGATGTGATGTGGTCCAGTATAATCTGGATGAGACCAGCAATTACAATTCGGATGACATGAAAATCAATGTTGAGATTGGTTGTATGAAAATTGTATTCGTCAATTGGTTTGTTACCTCTGTGCTTAGTTTCATGAACAATTTCCAAGCTGCCCAGCAAGCGATTGCAAATGCCAGTGCCGCTGCTGCGGATGCTGCCAAACAAAATGCTGTAGCTGTCTATGAGAAGGCCACACGCATGAAACTGAATGTTAAAGTCAAGGCCCCAGTTATTATTGTGCCCATAGACTCAAAGAGTTTGGATGCCATTGTACTCGATTTGGGTCAGTTGATTTTGAGCAATGTCATTACTGACATTAGTACTCCGGATAATGAGAAAGGACCCGCTGTTCTGGATGAAATTAAACTGGTACTCAAGGATATGCGTTTGGTACGTGTAAATATTTTGGAGGAAACTCAACAATATCAGAGCCATTCCTCGGACTTAAATGCACCGCTGGATGTTGTGGACTCCAATTTTGGTTTCAAATCAAAATTAAATATTTTGGATCCAACAAGCTTTACTTTGGTGGTCAAACGTAACCTGTCGTTCTCTTGGTACAAAAAACAACCTGAAATTGATATTTCTGGACGTTTGCGATCAATTGAATTGAATCTGTTCACGGATGATTATGGGCTAATAATGTCGATATTAAATCGAAATATGAGTGAGGGGGCAAACGAATTCCCCAATGTTGCCGCTGCAGCTCCGCCGCCTACACCTCTTGCGGCACCACCTAAAAGTCCCACATCATCTATACCCAAAACCCCTGTCGACAGTCCAGCAAAGAAGGCTGTGGACCAATTCAAGGAGAAAATGCGCCTCAAAAGCATTGAACAAGAACGTGTTTGCGAACAATTTAAATTCAATTTCCAATTGGATGGCGTGGTCATTAATCTAATGACCGATGTCAATGAGGGTCTGGCTCGATTTGGCCTTTACGTTATTTCCCTAAAGGGTACCAAACTTATGGACGAAACCCTGACCACAAACATCGTTTTGTGTAATATGCAGCTGGAAGATACCCGTCCGAGTAACACCAGTGAAATTAAAAAGTATCTCTGTCGTAAGGATTGGTTTGATGTAGAACTGGAGGAGCATTTAGGTTCCCCATCAAATCAAGTGGACAATAGGTCAACACGTGACAGCCAATACATGTTGGATGTCACCGCGGTGATCAAACAAAATGACACCATGGCGAAAGTGCGCATTTCCAGTTTTGATTTGATTTTGTGTGTAGATTTCATGTTGAAATTGACAGAGTTCATTAAGGTACCAGAAAGTGAAGAGAAGCCTGAGGTGAAAGAGGAAGAAGAACAAGCCATGGCTATTGCGCCACAACAGCAACAGCCGGGTCAGATTAAAACCATGGCAAGTGCAGCAGGTAAGCATTGATTCGAGTTTAGAAGTTTATATTTGACTAAAAATTTTATTTCCTTCCATAGCTGCTGTTCGCCAAAATACTCAGGTTGAGGTTGCCGAAGAAGATAAGGATGTGAAAAAAATGAATTTGACTTTGATAATTGAGGAACCCGATATAATTCTGGTGGAAACCTTGAGTGATATGAACACAAGTGCCATTGTCTTTAATGTATGGCAACATAAATATGTTACCTCGAAGTATCAGATCTATAATCCTTTTGTGTTTTTAGATGGCTACCAACATCAATTATCGTGTAGTGGGCAAAACCGAGAAAATCGATGGTAAAATTGATAATCTGAAGATGTACATGTGCTCCTTTGCTCCGGAAAAACGCCAATCGACCCAACATTATATTTTACATCCTTGCTACATAAATTTGCATAGCTCAACGCCACCCGGTGAAGAGGGCATGAATGTGAGCTTAAAAACCAGTGCTATTTTCATCAATATATCTCCAGCCGCCTTGGAACTTTTCAACAAGGCCATGAAATCCATTACCTCCAATAGTGCTGATGAAAGTAAAAATTTGGAACAGGCTAACTACAGCGATATTTGGACACCAAAGAAATTCAAAGATAATGATTTCTGGTTCTTGAAACCAGGTAAGTGAGGAGTGACTTTGAAATTTTTTGGAAGAGTTTTAATCCTATTTCCTCTGCAGACCAAGCTGAAGATGCTGTCTTTGTTTTGGAGCCACAAGCATCACCACAAGCCGTCACCTCTACCAAACGTGAATGCTGTATTATTGAAGTTGAAAACTTCGCCTTGATATTGGAGTCGGGTACTGGCTGCTTTACGACACCCTTGTTATCCATTGATACCACATTGGAGGCAATGGCCAATAACTGGAGTTCAAATCTAAGTGCCAGTGGTCGCCTTAGTTTGACAATGAATTACTACAATCAGGCATTGGCCGATTGGGAACCTGTAATTGAAAGAAACGAACGTATAAAGAAAGACGGCGAACGTGTTACATCGCCGTGGGAATTGAATTTCAATTTGGAAATTGAGAAAACCGTCTCAGAAATTGAGGAAGACAAAGAGGAATCGAAAACCTCCATTAAAATACATTCTGAAGAAAATCTAGAGATGACGGTTAGTAAAACCTTCCTGGATATTGTTACACAATTGGGAGAGGCCTTCAGTAAAGCTATGGATCCAAGTGGTTTAATTAAACCCGATGTTGAGGCTGGTCATGTGGTAATCAATGACACCGGCTTTGATTTGAATTTATCCTTTACTCGCGGTGCTTTTACTCTGCACGAATGCCACATGCCACACGGTAGTGTGAGTGGCAACAAATCGTTGGTATTCCAAAGTGAACAGGGCAAAGAAGTTGTGCCAGACACTGTGCAACATTGTACCATATCACCGGGATGCAAGGCATATTTACAATCGAAATCGGTACCCGAAGGACCGGATGCTTATGAGCAGAATATTTATGCCACAATAGGAAGTATAAATAAACAATTGGTTTTGCCTGTCTGCAAGTCAGACAAGCGTTACTTCCCATTGTATCGTGACACAAATCAGGATCCTTGGGGTATTGTGTCCGAAGTGAAAATGGAATTTGGTGTTACGGTCATAAATATACACAGTGTTTTGAATGTGAGTTGAATTCAAATAATTTATTTTAATATTATTTATCTAATTATATTTTCTACTTGGCATATTAGGTTAACAATCACTTTACCACACCGGTGAAAATATTCCGTAAATTGGCCAAGAATGGGGAAATGATTCAGGTGGGAGTAGTAGAGCCGGGTAGCATCTACCATGTACCCTTACATGCCATATATTCTGAAAATAAATGTCTGTTCTTTGGAATAGAGGTAGGTTTTGTTTGATTCAAATAACATATCTTTTTAATTTAAATAAATACTCCCCAACCAAAGGACTATCATGTTTCGGTACAAGGCATAAAATGGGATGACTTCCCCACAGACATGAACTACATGCGTCATCTACAATGTGATCCAATTGAAACTTTTGAACCCTTCTTCATCAATGTGAGCCGAGAGAAAACCGAAATCTATCATGAGCATACGAATAAATTTAAATTGCTTAGTGCTTTCTATACCTTGCACTTGAGACCTCCAGTTTATTTGCGCAATTCATTGCCCATTAATGTTACAGTTTCGGTGGCCGGTTGTTCGGTACGCCAGGCAAACTCTGCCAATGAGGCGGTACAAACTGAGGAATCAATTTCATCCGGATCGGAAACAGATAAAACCAAATCTCAATCACAAGTTGATACATTTGTCAAAGAGGACCTGCTGGACTATGGTGAGAAAGATATTGAGGCTGGTAGTGTTTTACATTTGCCCACAGTAACATTGGCTGGACGTAGTAAGGTGTCCAAGAGTTATTTGGTTGTAAGGGTAAGTAGGGCGTTGGAAATACCACGATGTGGAAAATATTAATTTATGGTTCTATCACCACAGATGATTCAGTATTTAGAACGTGATTGGTCTTGTACCACGGAAATTTGTGAAAACCAAATCGGTGTTGTCAATTGGCGTTTTAGTTCATATGATTCGGATGTAAAAATGAGCATGGATTTGTGTGTTAAGTAAGATTCTTATTCTAATTTTTAGTCGGGCATGGAAGGAGTTAACAAAGAATTCTGGACATCCTGCTCGACTGTACTTCCAAAATGCAATGGTTTCTAATATTAAATTGCTTTGCTTTGTTTTTGGCAGATTTGAAGACCGCTATGGAAGTTTATTGATAACCCTCTTCTCACCATTCTGGCTCATCAATAAAACTGGCCAAATGCTGAGCTATAAAACGGACAGTGAAAATGTTGAAGTTCTATATCATCCACCCGAATATACTGGACCAATTCTGTTTTCGATGCGTGATAAATATTTGTTTGATAAGAAAACATGTACCATCCGTGTGGACAATGGTGAATGGAGTAATAAGATACCACTTGATGTGGCTGGTTCTGTTGGCTCCATCGGCTGTAAGACTAATGATCAAACATACCAGGTGAGTAAAAGCCTTTGATATTTCAAATCCATCCATGAATTTTTTAAATTTTGTTTTTCCTTTCCAGATTGGTGTTCATAATCACTTAACTCAAAATTCCCTGACCAAACAAATCACCTTTATACCCTATTATACAATTATGAATAAATGTAGTTATGTTATTGAAGTCCAGGAAAATTCACGTCCCGCAGATCCCTGGAATAAGGTAAGTTATTCCCAAGTTATATTTTGATATGCCTCTTTAACATTTTTCAATTGTATAGCTTGAACCCAATAGCTGCTTCCCCTTGTGGCCTCGCAACGACTCAGATCACATGTTGGTTGTCAAGGTCGATGGCCAACGTACGGTACCATTTAAGTACTCAGAACCATGTAACAATTTGCTGCAATTAAATACACACAAGGTGAGAAATTATATAGAGGGTGAGTGTTGTGCTTTTATAGTTTGAAATAAAAGCCAATGTTTGTTAATACTAAAGGTGTAAAGATTTATTGGATGATGAGCGTTCACAGCTACTAATTTGAAAGGAATGAAGAAGTTACAATGTAGTGAGTCAGACTCGAGTGACAGACAAAACAAGACTGAGCAAGCTAAAATGGCGGTAGCACGGCGTCCTATTATATGGGCGTTGCCGTATAGGATGTTGCAACATGAGATGCCATATTGTTAATGTGGGTTGCCCCAACATCTCCCTCCTTAAGATGAGAAGGTGATCTTGAAATAGGATCGACTGGTTGTCTGCGACTTGTTATTCTTTGAGGTGTCCAGTTTGGTGAACCTGTTGGAGTTGCAAAATGTTCTTGATGGTTAGGCAAAGCGATTTCGAATTCTTCAAGTAGTACGTCCAATGGTAGTTTTTGTCGTTCTTGTCTGCTTGACTCTACCGATTCTCTATGTCGAAGTTGATCAGTATGAGCTCGTACTAGAATTTTCCTGTCCCCAACGTCGATTAGAGTGTTGTAAATGACTTTCCCTTTACGCTCGACTATTTCGCCTGTTGTCCAGTAACTTTTGTTTCCTTTGAAGTTTCTGGCATAGACCAATTCTCCGTTGCTAAACTCTCTGTTTTTGGTACCGTGTTTGGTATTGTACTGCTGTTCCATTTTCTGATTGACGTTATACTCAGGCGATTGTTGCTTCCTTAGAACGTCGAAGACCGTTCTCATTTTTCTTCCGATGAAGGATTCTGCTGGAGACTTACCTTCTGGTGCATTTGGATTTGGTGTGGATCTGTAGACTTCTAGGAAGGTTTGGAGAGATTCCGTAGGCGTTTCTTCCCCTTCTAGTTTTTTTAATGCACGTTTAAGTGTATCAACGAAACGCTCGGCTTGTCCATTTGAACTTGGATGAAAACGAACAGTCCTTGTGTGTTTAATGCCTTTTTTGCTGCACCACTTCTCAAATTGTTCTGAACAGAACTGTGTTCCGTTGTCCGAGACCAATTGTTCAGGATTTCCGAAGAGTGCACAATATTCGTTTAACATTTTTAATGTTGCATATGTGGTTGTCGTTGTTGTCTCGTATATAACAGGGTATTTTGAATACGAGTCGATGATAAGAAGATAATATTTACCTTTTTCTGGACCAGCATAGTCTATATGTATCCTTTCAAGAGGGTGTGAAGTTAATGGCCATGGGCAAAGATTTGTTTTTACTGGACTTTTTGCCGCATGTTGACAATTTTTGCATTTCCGAACAAAGTCTTCAATTTGTTTGTCGATGTTTGGCCAATAAACATAACTTCTGGCGATGGCTTTGCTGCGTTCTGCTGATAAGTGTCCTCTGTGAAGTTGTTGTAAGATTTGTCTCTGATATGATTTAGGGATTACTATACGATTATTGAAGAGAATACAACCATCGAAGGTTGAAAGATTTTCCTTGCGGTTGAAAAATTGAATAATTGATGGGTTAATATTTTTCTTGCTTTCTGGCCATTCTGTTTGAATGTATTTGAGGACCATTTGTAAATCCGTGTCTTTAGTTGTTGCATCGACGATCATTTTAAATGATACTGGGAGAACTGACATAATTTCATTTATCTCGTTACGTATGTCTTCTTCGAATGATATTGAAGCCACTATAAAGTCATCTGCTGGTTTTTCGTGATTGTTGACTTTTGTTTTGCACAGACATGGGGTACTGTTATCAAAAACTGATTGATAATTCGTTTTCAATTCTGCTATTTCATCAACGAAGTTTATTTGATGACACCATGAGGTTATTGGTTTCTGCCATAGATTGAATGCTTGAATCCAATCGATTCCCATGATATTGAGTTTTTCTATATCTGTTATATAACATTTTAATGTTTTTGATGTTTTGTCGATTGTGACGTCACATTGAAATTCTGCTAGGAGCTTGATTGAGTTTGCGTTTGCGTCGCTAGCGTTGTCAAAAGTTTCGTAGGCTTCAGGCTTACCTATAGCTTTCCATGTGTTGATAGATACAATTGATATGTCTGATGCAGTATCAATTTGAAGTTTTACAGGATTGTTGTTAATTAGGACAGTTGTGTATTTCCTTAAGTCGCGGAAATTAATGTTGTGTGTTTTGAAAACTGCCTTAGTTTTGGATGATTTCCTTGAATTGCTGTATTTCTTGAATTCGTTCTGGTTGTTTTCAGACGATGATTTGAAATTCTTACCAGTCTTAGCGATGTTGCAAAAGTTATTTTTATGACCCACTTGATTGCATGTTGTGCATTTATGTTTCTGGAAAGGACAAAATTTGACGTAGTGAAGGTCTCCGCAATACCAACAGGGTGAATTGGGTGTTTTGTGCTTCTTAAAGTCTTTTGCGTGCTTGTTGAGTGAACAGACGATTTTTGATTGATGTTCAATGAGAATGTTGTCCGATTTGAGATCTAGAATTCGTTGTGTTTCGTCTACTAGTTGATCTAGGTTCATTGTAGTGTTTTCATCATCCAGTACCTTTAGTAAGCGAAGTCTTATGTCGTTGTCCTTTGCTGACTTGAGTCCTAAGACGAAAATGAGACATTTGAATTGGTCGATTTTCAGTTCTTTCATTTTGAATAGTTCGCATTGTAGGTTTACTCTGCTTGCGTATTCTCTGAAATCTTCGCTGTCGCCTTTTGCTAGCTGAAGGCATTTGTATCTTTGTGAGACTTGTGTTTCTGTTTTACCAAAGAGTTTCTTGAGTTTCTCTACTGTATCCTTTAGAGTCATGTCTTCAGGTTTTGCTGGTAATACGTAGTTGGCAAATCTTTCATGTACTTGGTTCGACATTTTTCTCCATAACAAGGCCACTTTGTCATGTTCTTCGAGTGAGCTTGCTTCTTTTTCGAAAACATGCACAAACCTGTTGTACCACGCTTGAAATATCAGACCGCTCTCTGGCTCGTATACGAATGCTGTCATTGACTGTGCTAGTGATTCCATTAGTGCTGCTTTGGATGAATTTGATGTTTGTGGTGAGTGTGGTGAATTTGGTGCTCCTTGTGCTTGAAGAAGATCAGCCATATGCTTTAGCAGTTGCGTTTGTTGCGACATTGCTTTTTGTTGCTCTGTTAACAATTGTAGAATTATGTCTTGAGACATTTTTGCGGATTGTTGTGTGTGCAATTATTGATCAATTTCCACTATCCTCGTCGCCACTTTTGTTGTGCTTTTATAGTTTGAAATAAAAGCCAATGTTTGTTAATACTAAAGGTGTAAAGATTTATTGGATGATGAGCGTTCACAGCTACTAATTTGAAAGGAATGAAGAAGTTACAATGTAGTGAGTCAGACTCGAGTGACAGACAAAACAAGACTGAGCAAGCTAAAATGGCGGTAGCACGGCGTCCTATTATATGGGCGTTGCCGTATAGGATGTTGCAACATGAGATGCCATATTGTTAATGTGGGTTGCCCCAACAGTGAGATAGAAAAACTGCAACAAAGTCAAACGTCATAATTTTAAATTTTTTTTAAATTTTATTGAATGAAAGCAAAAAATGTCGGAAATAGGATCAAATTTAAGAATAAGTTTAGATTTTTTCTAATTGGTCACCTTTGACACGAATTATGGCCTTCAAAAGGCCAATGAAACCGTCACACGCTGCCTGAATGTTGCTCTGTGGTATTTTGGCCCATTCCCGGCGAAGCGCTTTGGTATTTTTTAGTGCCCACTTTGCTTTTCAAAATACTCCAGACACAATAGTCCAACGGATTGGAATCAGGAGATTTAGGTGACCTTTGTGTGCAGGAAATGAAGCAAGGAACCTCATTTTGTAACCACCATTCTTGGGTGGTACGTGTTCAAGGACTGCTGCCAAAATGTTTGTGTGCCCAAAGCTCTAATACACCCTCCAGAATATTTTCGCGATAATATTCGGCATTTATTCTGATGTCACGGTCGATTAATACGAGCGGAGAGCGACCATCGGCTGTTATGGCGGCCCACACCATCACCATGGCCTGCGCTTGAGTTCTCCTGGCCAACCGAAGTTGCACATTTTCAGTTAACCTCTTTGGCAAGTAACCACGATCATTTTGTTTGTTTACAAACTGCTGGAAAACGAATGTTTTCTAATGGGATACAACCAAATTCGGCAGTTCACCACTTTCGGCCAAGCGAAGCAACTCTTTAGCTCTTTTGAGTCAATTTTCTTGCATTTTTACAATTTCAATGGCTTTACCCCGAGCTCGCCAATATTTGCCGAATGGAATATTGCGATATGTTCAGCTCACGAGCCATTTTCCGGCCACTGCGACGCGGGTTTCGATCAAGTCGCTTTTCTACATTTCAAACCATTTCTGCTGTTGTTGCTGTTTTCTTCCATCCACTTCCTTGACGTCCTACGCTTTCAGTGCCACGGTAACGAGCGATGGTACGAGAAACAAAAGATTTATTCACATTAAAATGCTGGAGTAGCCACTTGTGGTTTTCCAGCCAAATATAAAGGAATCACACTATCACGCTTGAATTCCATCATGAATAACTTTTTTTTTCTGGAAAATACTCACTAAAATGCTTTTGTACGCTTGTAAACAATATAATGAGCTGTCACTGGAATAATTTTAACAGCTGTCGGACGAGTTACTGAGAAATGACAGCAGTCTGAAGTTGGTTGTAGTTTTTTTTATCTCACCCTGTAAATGTTTTTCGTGTACTTCTAACTTTTCAAAATTTCCACAGAATGGCGGTGTAAATGTTGATGTCCAAACCACTGAGGGTGGCGTCTATATAACATTCACAGAATATAATCCAGGAGATGCCCCAGGTTTATTAATCAATCATACTCGCTATCCAGTTTATTACTATGAAAAGGGTGTGGGCAACAAAATGGTGTTGCAGCCTCAGCAAAAGGTCCTCTATACCTGGTGTAATCCAGCAGGTGAAAAGGCTTTAGTTTGTGGTGAAAACAATGTTGAAAATGACTTGAGGCGTGATGGTTTTGGCAAAATCACGTAAGGATTATAAATCATAAATTACTTCTTTCTTTGAAGATAATGAACGGTTTCCAATTCCTTTTAGCTTGGAAGGTGACAGCGCTCCCTACTGGGTATCGTTTTTGAATGGTCTACAACGTGTTTTGTTGTTCACCGAATACGAAGCCATTGCCAAGAAATCGGAGACCACAAATGCTCTAACAAGCATTACCCAATCCATTGAAATCAAAATACATGGTATTGGCTTGTCGTTGGTGAACAATGAAACAGGTGTTGATATCCTATATCTAGGAATTACGAGCTCAGGTTGGTATATTCTATTTTAATGGTATTTCTCATCAAACTAATGTCAACCACTCTTTAGGCATTGTGTGGGAAACTCGGAAACATGCCAAGAAACGCTACAAGCAATTTAGTTTACATGAAACAGAACGCCTGGAAGCCATGTATCAGGAATATTTATTGGACAAAGTAAGGAACTCCAAAAAGAGCTATTCTTTGGATGGAAAATATGAGGTATGTTTGAAAAAAAAAAATGGTCTTATGTAAAAATAACATAATTTTTGTCATTTTCAGATTGATTTCGAAAACAACACCATGCTGAAGAATAACACTCTACGCGAGATTAAACGTTACTTCCAACCCGGCGTTTGGATTGGCCTAGACTCATCGCCCTTCCAGTCGCAGGTGCATGCCAAAATCAATCGCATACAGCTGGACAATCAACTAACCGATTGTATATTCCCCGTGGTATTGGCACCCATACCTCCGCCTAAGACACTGGCCAAATCAATACAATTCAAACCTTTTGTGGAAGTCAGTATTGTTGAGAGGGTTGTACCCCACTCCACCGTTAAACAGTACAAATATGCCCGCGTACTTATGCAAGAGTTCCACTTCAAAGTTGACTTGGTCTTTCTTATGGCTATTGCTGAACTATTTTCGGCCAGTGTTGATGATGAACGTGAGGCGAAACTCTTCAAGGATGATGTGGAATCGATTGAAAAGCCATTATCTGATTTGGTACAAATCCATTCGCAGCAACAACAAAAGAATTTCTATGATAATTTACATTTGGGTCCCATGAAAGTCCATGTTAGTTTCTCTATGGCGGGTGTTGATACATCTGCCTTGCCGGGTTTCCTATCGAATCTGCTGCAAGGTGTTGGTGTCACTCTCACCGATGTCAATGATGTTGTCATTCGTTTGGCTTTCTTTGAGCGCGAGTATCAATTCTTTACCCAAGACCAACTGAAATCGGAAATCGTATCACATTATACGGGTCAAGCCTTGAAACAGATTTATGTTTTGGTATTGGGTTTGGATGTTTTGGGTAATCCATATGGTTTGGTCGTCGGCATTAAGAAGGGTGTTGAAGATTTGTTCTATGAACCATTCCAGGTAGGTTTTTGTTTCTAATTGTATTTAACTTTTATAAAATTTTGCTTTATTTCAAAGGGAGCCATTCAAGGTCCAGGAGAATTTGCCGAAGGTTTGGTTTTGGGTGTACGCTCATTGTTTGGTCATACTGTGGGCGGTGCTGCTGGTGCAGTATCAAAGTGAGTACTTATTTACAACTCGAAGAGACCATATTGGAAAAGATACCTTACATGATGGAAACCGATTCAATTCGATTTGTGTTATCGCGTGGGGATCTAGTAGTATTTGATGATGAAAAAATATTTCTCTGCTTAAAACTCATAAGTAATTATAATCCAGTGAGGAAAAATCAAAAGGTGGGCGGGTTGACTATATGATACCCTACGCCACTATGCATATTTAGTAGAGCTCCCGTAACCAAAATAATTTATTTGAAGTAGATCATACCGCCTATGGTTTGGTTTTGGGTGTACGCTCATTGTTTGGTCATACTGTGGGCGGTGCTGCTGGTGCAGTATCAAAGTGAGTACTTATTTACAACTCGAAGAGACCATATTGGAAAAGATACCTTACATGATGGAAACCGATTCAATTCGATTTGTGTTATCGCGTGGGGATCTAGTAGTATTTGATGATGAAAAAATATTTCTCTGCTTAAAACTCATAAGTAATTATAATCCAGTGAGGAAAAATCAAAAGGTGGGCGGGTTGACTATATGATACCCTACACCACTATGCATATTTAGTAGAGCTCCCGTAACCAAAATAATTTATTTGAAGTAGATCATACCGCCTATCAACATTTGGCTTTAGAACAGTTATAGTTTGGTTTCAGAGAGAACTAATATATATGGAAGGCATATCCAATTCTGAATCGATTTTTACTAAATTTGACGGAGACATTTTAATCTTTTATACCAAAGAACATTGCTATAGAGTGCATGATATCACGTCGAGAAGGATTAAATTAATAAAATATATATCGGAGCCGAGTTCCACAAAATGGAAACGTACGAAATTCATTCCGAAATTCACTCCATTTAGGCTTATATTAAATCAGATTAAGGATATATATGGGAGCTATATCCAAATCTTAGCCGATCTCGAAAAAAATTGGCAAAGGTATTTCCGAGATCTATAAGATATCTGGTACCCAATATCATTGTTGTCGAAGGCATATTACGAATGTGAGGGACTTAAACACAAAATAGGATGAAGGATATACATCGGAGCTATAGCTATATCTTAACCGATTTTCTCCAAATTTGATATACTTGCTTCTGGACTAAATTCAGTCGGATGTGCCAAAAATCAGGTCATTTGGTGCGCAATTAACCCAAAATCGGTTGAAGATATAATGGGAGCTATAACAAATTCTAAACCGATCTTGATAAAATTTGGCTGAAGTATTTCCGAGCTCTTTTAAATTTCTGGTACCAAATATCATTGCTGTCGAATGCATATAACGAATGTGAGGGACTTAAACACTATATCGCATGAACTTGCTTCTAGACCAAATTCGGTCGAATGTGCCGAAATTCAGGACAGATATTGGCCATTTGGTGCAGAATTAACACGAAATAGGTTGTGATATATGGGAGCTATATCAAAATCTCCATTTTCAACAGGGTTCGTCCTTGGGCCAAGTAAACATTTTTTGAAAAATTTCATCGAAATCGACCTGCGACCTGCATTTTGTCCACAAGAGTATAGGGAGAGACGGGCGGACAGACAAACTGACATGCATAAATGGACTCAGAAAGTGATTCTATCAAGATCCTCAAAAGTAACTATGGATCTATCTTGCTTCCTTCTCCATGTTACAAACAAATGAACAAAGACATAATACCCTTAACACATGTGGTTTAGGGTATAAAAAGGATTTTAGATATAGTAAATGGTTTCCATCTCATACCTTTAAAGCTTTATGGAAGTTATGAAATTAAGGTCGATCCATATGGGCTGGATTATTTCCTCCTACATCTCTGTATTTATTTTCATGCCTATTTCCCCCTTACTTTTACAGAATAACTGGCGCCATGGGTAAAGGCCTGGCTGCCCTTACCTTTGACGATGAATACCAAAAGAAACGACGCCAGGCAATGAATGCTAAACCCAAGACTTTCCAGGAAGGCATGGCACGCAGTGGCAAAGGTTTAGTTATGGTAAGTAAAACAACATTTTGATTCTCCCCAAGAAGAGACTAATAAAATACAATTTTCTTAAACTTCCAGGGCTTTGTTGATGGCGTTACTGGCTGTGTTACAAAACCAATTACCGGAGCCAAAGAAGAAGGTGTTGAAGGCTTCTTCAAAGGCTTGGGTAAGGGTACAATTGGTCTGGTTACACGTCCCACAGCCGGTATTGTCGACTTTGCGCATGGCACCTTTGATTCCGTGAAACGGGCCACCGAAGTACAGGATGAGACGACACGTTTACGGCCACCACGTCTGTTCCATGAGGATAAACTGCTGAGATCATATTGTTTGGATGAGGCCAAGGGCAATCAATTGTTGAAGTAAGTCTGGCAAAGAAATCGAAGGAAACCTCCATTAATGTTGGATTTTCTTGTTGTCTTTTGTAGGGAAATTGAAAAGGGCAAATATGCCAGTACTGATAGCTTTGTTCACTGCGAAGAGATTGTGGCGAAACAGGAATTCGTGGTGGTCTCCAATCATCGTATTATTTATGCCACACGCAATGATATGTTTGGTACATGGGGTGTAAGTATAAACATGTTTTTTTAGATGCGATTCCATTTTTAACATATCTCTTTTTGAAGGTTCAATGGACATATTTATGGTCGGAAATCCAAAATGTCACCAACACAGATCGTGGCATTGAAATTTTATTGAAAAAAGAAGGCAAAAAGGTTTTGGGCCTATTTAGTTCCGGCGAACAACAACATAAGCTGATATTAATGTCATCACCAAAACGTCGCGAAAAACTGCTTGAAGCAATTGAATCTCATCGTGTGGTTTCGTAGAGAGGACGAATGCATATGCCGCCTGCAGCGCACACAAACAACCAACCAACTGAATTTCGAAGGACTTACCTTAAAACATTCATTAGACTTGATGTTCTATGTATTTTTTTTTTACACGAACCACTAATCCTAATATAAGCTACATTTCCCCCCTATATTCAGTTTTATTATTTTCCACTTTACTTACGATCCCCTGCATTATCGTATACTGAATGAAGTTACTAATAATTTTTTTTATATAAAAATCCGCAAAAAATATTGAAATGAAATCCACTCTTGTTTTTTGTTTTCACAAATTTCTTTTATTTTTGTTTTTTTTTTTTTTTAATTTGCATTAAGCTTTTTTACGCTCATTTATATAACTACTTTTTCTAAATGTTTTACATTGTTGTTATTGTTGCATAACACACTTACCACAATAACACACAGATACAGGCTTAAACTTATACGAACATAAAACTATAAACTAAAACACATACATCTAAACAATAATTTTTAATAATATTAATAATAATTATAGAGAACAGATTTTTTTTATTAAAAATGAAAGTTGCTACAAAAATGATACGTTTATGCAGCGAAAAAAATATTTGAATTGTTGTTTTTTGATTTTCGATTATATTTTTCTAAAAAAAATAAACACAAAGCAAAAGTATGCAAAAGAAACAACATTTTATAAACAATTTTACACAGTTGAGATATTTATTACAAGAAAAAAAGCAGCAAAAGTAACAAACGAATAGAAACCAAAAATCGACGAAGCAAATGAATAAATAAATATATAAATGTTGAAAGTATCTTAAACACAATTCCGAAACATTTGTTTTTATATTTAATATCGATGTAAGGACCTGTTTATGTATATCGAAAAGAAAAGGTATGCGATAGAAAAACATCAATTCTTGCTCTGTTCCAGAACCTGCAAGAATATACTAGTTTTGCAATTTTTTCAATATCATTAAGAGAATAAGTTAAAGAGTATCAGTCGGTTTTGCCGACAAATTGATATCCTCAGCCTTTATCCACTTATTCAAATATATTTTGACGTGTTTTATTATTATACAAAATGTTGACCCTCTATAGGAGGGCTACAGATAGAGTAGAACAACACAGGGTAAGATGGAAAACTGCAACCAACTTCAGACTGCTGTCACTTCTAAGCCACACGTCCGACACCTGTTAAAATTATTCCAGTGACAGCTCATTATATTGTTTACAAGGAAGTGGACGGAAGAAAACAGCAACATCAGCAGAAATGGTTCGAAAAGTAAAGGAGGCGACTTGGTCGAAACCCGCGTCGCAGTGGCCGAAAAATGGCTCGTGAGTTGAACATATCGCAATATTCCTTTCGGCAAATATTGAAAAATGAGCTGGGGGTAAAGCTATTGAAATTCCAAAAAGTGCAAGAACACCACAACAGAAAGAAAATAGACTCAAAAGAGCTAAAGAGTTGCTTCGCTTGGCCGAAAGTGGCGAACTGCTGAATTCGTTTTTCTCCGATGAGAAAAATACGTCGTCCAGCCATCGCTCGTTACCGAGATGGTGGTAGCGTAGCCCGAAAAGGAAGTGTCCAGCAGTTTGTTCGTTGCCCAGCAAACAAAATGATCGTGTTTACTTGCCAAAGAGATCAGCTGAAAATGTGTACCTTCGGTTGGCCACCAGACACCAGAACTCAAGCGCAGGCCATGGTGATTGTGTGGGCCGTTATAACAGCCGATGGTAGCTCTCCGCTTGTATTAATCGACCGTGGCATCAGAATAAATGCCGAATATTATCGCGAAAATATTCTGGAGGGCGTATTAAAGCCTTGGGCACGCAGACATTTTGGCCAAAGACCTGGGACATTCCAACAGGACTCAGCACCATCGCACTCGGAACGCGCACCCAAGAATGGTTACCAAATGAGGTTCATCGCTTTATTTCCAGCGCACAATGGTCACCAAAATCTCCGGATACCAATTCGTTGGACTATTGTGTCTGGAGTATTTTGGAAAGCAAGGTTGACACTAAAAAATACTAAAGTGTCGATCATCTCAAGCAAGTGCTTCGCCGGGAATGGGCCAAAATACCGCAGAGCAACATTCGGGCAGCGTGCGACGGTTTCATTGGCCGTTTGGTTGGCACTAAAAACTACCAAAGTGTCGATCACCTCAAGCATGCGCTTCGCCTGGAATGGGCCAAAATGCCGCAGAGCAACATTCGGGCAGCGTGTAACGGTTTCATTGGCCGTTTAAAGGCCATAATTCGTGCCAAAGGTGACCAATTCGAACAAATCTAAACGTATTCTAAAATTTAATGCTATTTCCGACATTTTTTGTTTTCATTCAATAAAATTAAAAAAAAAATGTAAAAAATATGGCGTTTGACTTTGTTACAGTTTTTTTTATCTCAACCTGTATAACCTCTCTAGCTATATGGATGAGGGTATAACAATTGGTTATCTTAGTGAAGGCTTTTAAATTCTTACAGTTCTGGAACAAAGCTTCTCTATGTATGTTTTCAAATGTATAATTTTTATTCAAATATAAAAAATTCAATTTTTTTTAAAAAACACCTAGATTTGATGTTTTTCTTACGTGATCCGCAATTTTTTGATATTTAAATAAAAAATCAAAAATTTTAAAAATTGAGATAAAATTGTGGTTTCCTTTCGACTGACATAAACATGGCCTAAAATTAGAGTGACTTGTTTTTATCATTTTTAGGCTTTATGGGTTTTCTTCAGAATATTGTAAATTTTGTTTACGCATAGGTTAAGGATTTTTAAAGCTACTATTGAATCACTAACACAGCCCTGACAAATAACATAAATTTCCATTGGTTGTGAGAGATAAAATTCCAATTATTTTTAAATAAAATTTTGGGATTTTTTTTAATATGAAATTAAATCCAAGTGGAAAACTCAAAATAAACTTTAAAAGTTCTCACGGGAAACGTTTTCTTTTAGATTCCAAAGCCTTTTGTGCTTTCCAAACCAAAATCTTGATCAATTTCTCAAACTTTTCCGTCCAAGGCTGTGCAATTGTTATTTATCTCCAGTTGTCTCGCCCTTACAGCTATCGGCTAAACCTTTTTCAAGAAACTACTGGGCGGTGATGATACCGTCATTATCGGTTCATAGTTATTACAATCATTATCGCAAAACGAACTAAACGAGGCCACCGCATCCACACTAAACATACTTGCCAAATGACCACTGGCTTCCAATTGATTGATAAGCATATTCACTTTACCCTTGCCATTGGCAGCAATGGGTGTTGGACTACTGGCAGCACCAGATGATTTGAGAATTGGCGAAGCGGGATTGCTACTCAAATTCGAATCGCTGTTATCATAGGCATCACCATTTTCCGATGAATTCAATAGATTTTCCTTTTCACTTTGTTTGCATTTGGATGGAGCACTGGAGCAATTTGTGGAAATCGAGGAACTGTTGCTACGCGTCGAGGATGTGGTCTTGTTGAGGCGATTTAAAAACCAATTTTTAGTGGCCGATGTTTTTTCCGTGGATTTTTGTGGACTGTTTTGGGGTGTGGAGGATTTCTTTTGTTTCTTCAAATCGGCTGCAACCGGTGATGAGTTGCCTGTTGGGGGTGAGGTACTCATTATCAACGACTCACCATCATTGAGTTGGGAGGAACCCGACGAATAGGTTTTCTTAAGGGGTTTCTTGGCCGGGCCATTCGATAACTGACTAGATAATTTACTATGGACATCCTTAACCTTGGCTTGGAACGTTAGTTTTTCTTCCATTTTTAAATTGATTTTTGGCGGTGTTATAAAATTACCCATTACCTGGGGAGGAGGTGATGATTTTGGCGGAGTTTGTATGGGGCTTTCCGGTTCATTGTCATAGGGATTTATCAGTTGCATTTCATCATTATGACCCTGACCCTTTAGGGGTTGTGGTGGACATTTGGGCACATCGTATTCGAAACGTTCAGCCAATGCTGAGGGACTGTTTTGTTTTTGTGGTAAGTCGGGCAAAGTGGAGCCATTTGCTTGCTTTTGATGGACATTGTAGACGGGAGATGGTTCCTCATATATGCAGTCGCTGGCCGTTTGACTTGTATTCATGACATTAGACTGGGAGTGCTGTTGATGTTGTTTCAGTTCCGCCGCTTTTTGGAAGGTACTTAGAAATGTCATTTTCTTCATTACCGGCGGTGTTGGCAGTTTGCGTCCCGATGATGATGTCCTGGCCACACTGTTATTGCCAATCACCGTTCCAATATCACTGCGTATGGCTGCCTCTATGGCATGTATCCATTCTTTGGCATCGATTTCATTGATGGCTTGGAAAACGAAACGTTTGGTTGGATCCGGTGTGGAGATTTGAAAGCATACATCACGACGTTTACCCTCGCCGAAATGTTCAATTTCAATGCCGGGCATTTTCAAATACAGCGTTATGCTGGGTTTATTCGATGTGGGTCCATCGGCATAGCAGAGCAACCAATCGTTGAGTATGCCACAGTAGCATTTTTTGCTTTGATCGAAAAACAAACGTTTCTCTATCCTCTGCAGTTGTCCGTACTTTGTGGATTTGTGTATGGCCAGGTGGCCGGCCGGCAAATCCATGTATGGACAGTCTAAATGTGGCAAAGAAAAATGTGTTTCCGGGGTTATGGCTTTTTGCGTCTCCTCCAAATTATCCTCCTCGCCATCCGAACCCTGGGTAGTCACCTGACAGATGTCATAAATTTGTGGATCATCTTCGAATTCATCATCATCCAGCTGGCCATCGACACTATCGGTTTCGGCTTCTTCATCGGTTGTCGTTGTCATGGTGTCGTGCAGGCGATGCAGAAAACTTTTGTTTTGTTTTACAATCATGGTGGAGCAACGAAAAGTTTTATCACTGTCTGCGGAACTGTTCAAGTCGTTGCTGGATTCCCGTGGAGAGGGTGAGGATTCTGTAGGAAAAAATAAAGAAAGAAGATATGCGGTTGTTATTGTTATTTTCTCAAGAAGAAGAAGAAGACGAATACAGAGTGTTTTGAATAAATATTATCAAGTTTTTCATGGTTTGACGTCAATGTGGGATCTGTAATTTGTAGTTAACACTGTGCGACAAAAATCATTTTTTTTAATAATTACTGGAAAAATTTAGCAGATAATCAAAGTAAAGCCAAAAAAGACGACAACTGTAACGGGGTCTTGAAACTTTTATATCGCAAAATATCCCAAATAGAGGTGATAATTTCCCCCCTCTTCCGCTCTTTTGGAAATTTTCGGATTAAGATTCCTTAGAAACCTTGCATTTTAGACGTATGGAGTCTTTGGCAATATAATAGATAACAATAAGAGGAATATTTTGGTAAGCAATTTTAACCCTCAATTGAGTCAAAAAAGGGGTCTTTTCGGTCCTTATAATTATACAGGTCTGAAAATTCCCCTTAAAAATATTTGTAGTAATTCAAAATATTCTACAAATTTATTGGTCATAACATTCTACTATAGGTCCCAGAAGTCTAAATCTTACCTAAACGCCAGAAATGCATCTATAGATTAAAAACACATTTTAGGGTTAAAGACGTTTATGCAAAATTCTCCTACAAAGCATTATTTTAGAAGGATGACGTATATTTTGACTTCTGAGGTATTGGATGCTTATCTTGCTTTCTTTGAGCGTTTTGTTTCTTGAACCGTATGTGGGGGAGGTACCAGAACAAATGGTCCGATCTCTACCATCTTTATAACACATTTTGCGTTGATGGAACTATTGAGATATACCAAGTCTGAATGGAATCGGATGGTAATTTCGCGTTTTATGAGCTTCATGGATATTCAAAATATTGACCCTTTGTGGGGGAGGTACCAGAAGGAGTGGGCCAATATGTCTCAATTTCACACCAGATCTTGTGGTAGTAAAAATAATGGGATGAGTGAAATATGAAGAGGATTGGATGCTTATATCGGATTTTATGATCGCTTTGGTTATTTAAAATTTTAACCCTTAGTGGGGGAGGTACCAGTAGGTATGGTCAGATCTCACCATTCTTTATAACAGATTTTGTGTTGATAGAAATATTCAGATGTGCCAAGTCTGAATGGAATCGGATGTTAATTTCGGGTTTTATGAGTCCCACGAATATTCAAAATTTTGACCCTTTGTGGGGGAGGAACTAGAAGGAGTGGACAAATATTTTCCATTTTCACTTCAGACCTTGGGTTAAGAAAAATATTGTGATTTGTGTAATATGAAGACAATCGGATACTTACATCACATTTTATAGAAATTAAAGTTATTAAAATTGTTGACCCTTTTGGGGGAGGTACTTGAAGGAGTGAACCGCAATTTTAGAATTCGCAAATTTAGAGCAAAATCGTATAATCCTTTCTCTTTCTATGCAGTAAATTATTTTCTTTCAAATGGTTGACATTTTGTGGGGGAGGTACCAGAAGGAGTGGACCGATATTGCCCATCTCCGAACTTGAGTTTGACAATAATATTACGATGTACTTAGTATGGACCAAATCAGATACCTCCTTCAAGAGTTGCCGTGCGCGCCAGCCAGGCAGACAGATGGACAGACGGATATCGATTGACCGACTCCAAATGTCCTTTGGATTTTGTCCAAAGAGACCTATGATGTAAAACCATTATTTCGTTGAGGTACGTTTTGGCCGTATCAAATGGTATATAACCTCTCTAACCATTTGGCTGAGGGTATTGTTAAATTGGTATTTACTATTATAGGACTTTAAGGACTTTATCAAAAAGTGGACCGACACGACCTATTTCGATCCTTATGTGAGGAAATTTTTAATTTCACTCAAGAAATGTGAGTGGTGTATTTTGAGTTTGAAGTATGCCCTTGTAGGCTAAAAAATCTTCCAGTCCACCCGTTATAGTCTTGTCCAATAATTCTTCATTTTTTTCTGACTTACAACTATGAATGCTCATAATCAGGTTTTCGATTAATTTCATTTTTTTTTCTTTCAAACTCGTAGGACTTGATTATCAAGAAGAAGCAAAAAAACAACAACTAAATTAAAGTCACACCCAAACGGAACAAAGAATGAAACTCTTACTTGTCTTATTGTTGGCAGCCGACATGTCCAGATATGAGACATCATCCTGCTGTTGTCGCTGGTGGTGGAGATGTGTTGGTGCAGATTGTTGTAGATCAGGTTGTGGTGTTGCAGCAGCACAGCCGCTATTATTCGACATTGAGTTTGGTTGCTGTTGTTGTTGCTGCTGCTGCAATTTGATTTTATCTTTACCGGATTGCCACTGATTTTGTAGACCATTAGTCACCGTCGTAGTCGGTGTTGTAGACGACGATGGCGGTGGCACAGGTTTTGGTATGGTATATGTAATAAGATGTTGTTGTGGCTGTTGTTGCTGTTGATTTTGGCATTTATTATTGGTCAAACGATTTAATAATTGCTCGCAACGTTGCAGCAACTGTTCCGTTGAATCCGACTCGGTTACAAAAAACATATTCGAGGTGTTTTCATATTCCGATGTGGCCAACGAGGCTCGGAAGTAATCACGAACATCTGAAAAAGCGGAAAAACAAAAAATGTATAAATAAGTAAATATATTTAATAGTTAAAATTTTAAGGCTAGACTATACTGTGAATGACCTTTTTCACAATTATCTGCAGCAATTTAATTTATATATTGGAGGTTTTAGTGGTGTTCCAGCAACTTTAGTATAGCGTTACTTTAAAGTTTTAAAATTCTTGGTAGCTCCATAAAATATGCTTTAAAAAAATAATATATAAGTCACTTTACATACGAGTCTAACGAAGGTGTAACCGAGCCTTTATAACAACTTTGATATTAAACATGGAAAAAAAAGTTCCTGAAGACGACTTTAAGTGGGACGTTTCAGCTTGCTTTGCTGGCTCTGAATCAGATTCTTAGCCTCACTTAGCTCATTGATGAAACACGGAATTTGCAAGAATACTAACACAAAAACACTAAAAACTAGCACAGATTTATACAAGAGATTACTGATGGAGTTACTCTCAAATTTGCCTGCCCTTTCATAGGGCTCTGCTGACAATTTTCTCCTCGATCCCCACGTTGGGTGCCATCCGTTAAACGAGCCTGTTAGGTGCCGCTAAATATGGCCCGGTCAGCTAGTTCAGACAGTAGAGCATGCGACTTTTAATATCAGGGTGCTACTACTTTACGAAATTATTTACAGAGGAAATTAGAGAACTTTTGAAAGACCAATCTTTGTTGTTGGTTTTTTTTAATCTGTGAGGGGTTTAAAATTTCGTGTTTCCGCTTTGAACTAAGTGGTTGACGGTTTATAACTTGTCCCAGAGACAGCATACAAGATCGTGTAACAAATGGCGCCCGACGTAGGGCTCGAATAGAAAATTTAAATCGACCTCAAAATTTCTGAATAATACGGGGATTTGTTTCCAAATCCTTGGCTGTACAAAATATTGACCCATAAAAACATATTTTGGATTCACCTTTTTTACACTCAGCCATTTAATATGCCTTATTGGCATAACAAAATAGACAGCTACTCTTCAGCAGTGTCCTCTGAGGCCAGCCACTCTACAGTAGGGGCCTCTGACGCCAGCTACTCTACAGTAGGGGCCTCTGACGCCAGCTACTCTACAGTAGGGGCCTCTGAGGCCTGCTACTCTACAGTAGGGGCCTCTGAGGCCAGCTACTCTACAGTAGGGGCCTCTGAGGCCAGCTACTCTACAGTAGGGGCCTCTGAGGCCAGCTACTCTACAGTAGGGGCATCTGAGGCCAGCTACTCTTCAGCGGTGGCCTCTGAGGCCAGCTTCTCTACAGAAGTGGCCCCTGATGCCAGCTACTCTACTGCCAGATACTGAACAGCATGGGTTCCTTAGGGCAGGTACTCTATTAAAGTGCCCTCTGTGGTAAGCAACTCCTATGAGACCAGCTACTCTACAGCAGTGGCCTCTGAGGCCAGCTACTCTACAGCAGCGACCTCTGCGGCCAGCTACTCTACAACAGTGGCCTCTGAGGCCAGCTACTCTACCGCCAGATACTGAACAGCATGGGTTCCTTAGGGTAGCTACTCTACTAAAGGGCCCTCTGTGGTCAGCAACTCTCTCTGAGGTCAGATATTCTACATCGCGACTTGGCTGATACGCATGATAAACCTTGAAGGGAGTATCGGATTTAGTTCAAACTCAGGTTATATCGAGTTCGAAGATAAGGGCCATATCGGTCTCCTTTTTCTGAAACTTCAACCAAATTTCGTAATATTTATATCAGCCTTAGATCGGGTTACAATATCTTCTGGTATCTTTACCAAAGAGGGACATTATTCTGAATTATCCTTCTGGTACTTTTTCCATCAAGGATAAAAAAATTAAATAATCATTGCTCTCGTGAAATACGCAAAGCGCTCCCCGATTTCTTTCGAACTTTGCACGATCAAATATTTCGGTCACCAACAGATTTAGAGAGAATATAGCACTTAAAAATTTCTTACAAAAAAAATAAATAAGAATCAATCCCACAAAGGGTCCACAAGGGGGGTTTGAAATTCGACACTGTTTCTGTTATCAAAGACTCCCTCCTTCTCGTACCTCTCCAAATATTTTGGATAACTATAGCACTTACAAAATATAAAATTATTGCTTAATTTTTTTCAAACTTCGCAGATTTTTAAAGCTCTTATTTATCATATCTAGGGTGATGGAATATATCTGCCCAATCCTTTAAGTGTCTCCAAGTTCAAAAATTGAGAAACATATATTAAAAACTTTCAGGATTTAGTCTTTGCCCATCGCAATATAAGCAAGGACAAACCATACCTTTGGGTCGCATATGGTCCATATATATACATATGTAAATTGTCATGTTTTGAGAAAATATATCTGTCGGCATACCAACTTACATTGTCTAACTGTGTGACCCAGACATAACCTTAAAACAAAAGTTTTTTATTCCCACATTTTCAACAGCAGACTTTAATTAATTAAAACCAAAAATGTTCTTCAGTTTCTGTTACTTTTTTTTTTGTTTTGTAACAATTAAAATTCGTTTTACAAATAAAATGTCGTAAATAATGAATAAAAAAAACTGTCTCAGTGGTTCAGTGCCATGAGAATACTTTGTCTGTTGACTGGGAACTGTTTCAACATTGGATGAGCTCATCTCTCCTCCATGGGGAATACATGCATACATATGTGTGTAGCACTTGGTCGCCAATGCCACATTTGTTATTATAGACACTGTCTTCGTCCATCTTCATCATCGTGTCATCACTCCTTCCACCATTACACTTAATTAAAATTAAAACCACCATCATTTATCTAACCATCTGAATGGAAAATAACAAAATTTACATAAATGCGAACCGGGAAAGTTTTGCAATTTTTAACAAGTATTGTTGTTAGTCGGAGTGACAGGCTGGCGAACTGACATAATGACTGACTGCCTATCTTTTTTTTTGTGAAGAGAAATATGTGGCAATTTCTTTGCCACATTTTAATTTCTTCTTCTTCCGCTGAATCGATTGTGGAATAAGAAAGAAGATAGCTGGAAGATAGTGTAGCTGCGTCAGTTTTACAATAGTTTTGTGGTGCTGATAGATGACAGCTATGCGGTGACGAAGGGCTTTGAGAAATTACCTTTTTCTTTTTTTTAACACATATCCCCACCATAAAAATGTTATTAAAAAAGGTGATGGCTACTAAACGTAATGGAGCAAGGCGTTAGAAAGGTGTGAGAAAGCCGGAAACGGAAAGTTTTTTTGCGAGGTCTATAAAATGTTTGCAGTATTGGTTTTAATTTGGATAAAATAAGTGAACAAGAAATGGGACAATGTAATAAACTTTTAGATGTCATCAAGTAAAAAAGTTGTAAGTTCGTCCGGCCCGAACTATGAATACCCTCCACCATATGGAACGAATTTGGCAATTTTCAAGAAAAAAATCGTTAAAAAATTCTGTTAAAATCTTAAAAAAAAACTGAATGTAGCAATTATATTAGAGTCTATACGATGACATGGACCTACAGGCAACTTTTGCCATAAGCCACTACAATATTCAAATGCGAAACTTGAAAAACAAATTCGGTGAATAATGTCGCTAAAATCATCAGAATACCGAATATGGGGAGGTGCCGTTATATGGGGGCTATACGAAGACGTGCACCTGCACAGACAATTTTCTATCTTAGCCTGTAGTATCCATTACGAACTTCAAATATCAAATTTTAAAGAGTTCCGGTAAATAATGTCGTTAAAATCATCCAAATACCGAATATCGGGAGCTACCGTTACATGAGGGCTATACGAAGACGTGAACCTGCACAGACAATTTTCTGCCTTAGGCTGTAGTATTCATTACGAAAATCAAATACCAAAATTTAATTCCGGTGAATAATGTCGCTTAAATCATCAAATTACCAAATATCGGGAGGTGCCGTTATATGGGGGCTATACGAAGACGTGGACCTGCACAGACAATTTTCTGTTATAAGCGCCAGTATCCATTACGAACTTCAAGTACCAAAATTTGAAACAATTCCGGTGAATAAATCAAATCATCAAAATACCGAAAATGGGGACGTACCGTTATATGGGGGCTATACGAAGACGTGGACCTGCATAGACAATTTTCTGCCACAGGCTGTAAAATTCATTACGAAGTTCAAATACCAAATTTGAAATAATTTCGGTAAATAATGTCGCTAAAATCATCAAAATACCGAATATCGGGAGATGCCGTTGTATGGGGGTTATACGAAGACGTGGACATGTACAGACAATTTTCTGTCATAGGCTCCAGTATCCATTACGAACTTCAAGTACAAAATTTTAAACAATTCCGGTGAATAATGTCGCTAAAATCATCAAAATACCGAATATGGGGGCAATACGAAGACGTGGACCTGCACAGACAATTTTCTGTTATATGCTGTAGTATCCATTCATCAACGCCCAGACGAAACGGCTGAAGCTAAAAACTGGAATTTTTGGGTGAGGATACCTCTTCGTCCGAAGGTGTAAAATAAGGTTGGGTTTTTGTAAATTCGTACTAAAACAGTACCAACCAGTATGTGAACCGTTAGAGTTTGAAATTTGGAATGGGAATCAAGGTTGAGGAGTTAGTTCTGCAAGTGTGTACTGAAATTTGAAATTAATATTTCTGGCGGAGAGTAGGATTGAGATATGGAGGCGGTTGCGGAAATTTGTACTTATGTCCCCGAAAAGTTCTAAATGGTACTAAATTTCGTAAAACTTCGATTTTGGTGTACCGAAAGAGTTGATATGCAGAAATTTCGAAATAAGGTTACTATTGCATTCTTATATGTATAGTACTAAATTTGGTACAATTTAAGTTTTGGGAGAACCGACAGCGTTAGAATCCTGATTACTTTGGGATTAGAGGTTTTGGAAACTCATACTTATATGTACTTAATGGTACTAAATTTGGTACGTTTTCGATTTGGGTGAACCGATAGAGCTGGAATGCTGAAATTTGGAATTGGGATGACTATAGAAGTGCAGGTTGGGTTTAAGTGTAGTTGTTAAAATGGGGGGGGT